TCACTTACCAAAATGACAATCTTTATAATAATTGGCAAAGTGGTATTTTTGCCAGAAGGATCAGTTCATAAAATATTCTAGAAAAAAAGACAGTTACATTTAATTTTATAATAAAAGCATAGAAACAAGAAGCAACAGAATAATATAGAACATTGAAATCATTCTAAGAATTTAGGCAATCCTAACAATGCCCAATCAAATCACTAGATACCAGTCATGTGATCGTAACTAACAGCTAACACATCATTTACCAATAATTTTATTGAACTTATCAATCTTCTAACATCACTAAAATCAATTAAATATTTGTTATAAAAACTAATTCCTATGTATCTACTAAACATAAAATATCAATTCAAGTAACATATTTAACGATATTTGTCGTTTTAGAGGCTGAAATTCTATCACGGTCTAGGCCTACCTAGAATTATGGTATACATGCGGTCTCTTATACACATCATCAACATTAATACATTATGCTAATTTTCATCTTTGTAAGCGCATAAGACAGTGCAAATTATTTCTGTGACAGTCTTTTGAAGTGTGTAAAGCTCTTTTATCCCATACATAGTCAAAATATTGGGGGGGATGATACAATGGACCATCCCCCCCTTGTCAAATATTGGGAGGAATATATCCCCTCCATCCCCCCCGGGATCTACGCCTATGTTTCTGTGTATTTTCTACGAAGGCCACTATATCGTGTCCTTAAAATCTCATTTTGATGTTGAAGTCGTCGTTTGAATGGAGTCAGCAGACCCTTTCGCTTTAATGACCTCATTCCAATAGATAAACCTGTATACGCTGATGTTACAACTGCAGGATTTGATACTGTTTGCACTGTACTTGATGAGCCTGTTACAGATGTTGCAACTGTGGGATTTGATACCGTTCGCACTGTACTTGATGAGCCTGTTATAGATGCTGCAATTGTAAGATTTGATACCGTTTGCACTGTACTTGATGAGCCTGTTACAGATGTTGCAACTGTAGGATTTGATACCGTTTTGCACTGTACTTGGTGAGCCTGTTACAGATGTAGATGGTGTTACAGTAACCTGAGAAGTTGTTTGGGTCAACTTTCGTCTAACTGCCTGTTCTGCTGAAGTTCCCGGTTCTTGTTGTTTTTTCTCATGCTTGTACTTCTCATCACAATTAGCTATTAACATAGAAACTTCCTTCTCTCTGTTCATATGAGTGTACTTTTTAATTGTTCTATTTACAAGTAACTGGATTTTATTCTTTGTAATCTGTAAGCCCATGTGTTCAGCAAAAAACTTTGTAGTTGGTGCAAACAACTTTGACTCCTGCATGAATTTTAAAACCACATGACCATTCAGCAAGTCTTCAGCATCAACAGGAATCTCTCTATACCGTTCTTCAAGCAAAAGTCGACATTTGCCTTTTGGTGCTGGGGGCATAAGCTTACGCTTCTTTGGCGGCATTATAAGAAAATCTACCAAGAAAAAAAATGAAAATATAATTAATTAGATAAATAATAAAATCAAAGTATAAATAATAATAGAAATAACAGCAACAATAATAATGGTATTTTAAAATACTGTAATATTATATGAACTGTTGATTATTAAATGCATTATAATAAGGACCCATAATAAAAAACAATATTAGTTTATTGTAGTTTTATTTTTCTTTTGCTAACCCTACCCCCCCCCCGGATTTCCCCAAGTGATTGGTTGGGGGGGGGGGGGGGATAACGTAATGGGGGGGGAGGTGATAACGTAATATTTTTTTTTTTACGGGACCTAATCTATATATTTTTTTTTCATATAAAAATAACTGTATGTAGATTTCTTACCAAAATGACAATCTTCTAATTGGCAAAGTGGTATTTTTGCCAGAAGGATTAGTTCATAAAATATTCTAGAAAAAAAGACAGTTACATTTAATTTTATAATAAAAGCATAGAAACAAGAAGCAACAGAATAATATAGAACATTGAAATCATTCTAAGAATTTAGGCAATCCTAACAATGCCCAATCAAATCACTAGATACCAGTCATGTGATCGTAACTAACAGCTAACACATCATTTACCAATAATTTTATTGAACTTATCAATCTTCTAACATCACTAAAATCAATTAAATATTTGTTATAAAAACTAATTCCTATGTATCTACTAAACATAAAAACTTTCTGACCACAAAAATGAATATTATACATCGCGGTCTAGCCCAGACTCTAGGCCTAGGTCTACCTAGCATTATAGTATACAGACGTCGCGATCATTTTGACATTAGACGCCATTTTACCCAAGCGATCGTAAATCATAGCAGACTTTACAGCTTACAAAAACCACTTGGTTGTGGTCAGAATTCTTTCATATTTGGTCAAAATGTTAATTACTTATTTCTCTAAATTACTGTTATAATAATTAGAAAAACCATGTACCTTTTTGACAGCAAAAGTTGATTTTATTCGAGTAGTAACTTCGGACGTCAACTGCAGCGGAAATAAACAATAAATGAACACAAAACAAATGCGTGACTGTTCTTTAACCTTTTGTCTGCCTAAAAATGCATGACATAATCGATGTTTAATCAGAAACGTAATTTTCACGATTTTTTTGAAACCCAACACCGTGAACCGGAAGTTCAAGGTCGCCGCGAACGTCTAACCAAAACAATCAAGTGTGATGTCACGCTTTGTAACGTACCTACCTATTACAGTACTAGCCTAGATGAGATCAAGCTAGCTTAGTTAGCTAGGCTGGCTGGTCTAGGCTAGGCCTAGAAGTTTACGCAGTCTGGGAGGTATATGTAGCCCCTCCCCCTTCCTCTAATTGGTTGTCAAACTCTGTCTAGATAGACAGTGTAGTTAAAAAGGTGGTGATACTTATTAATAAACAGAACTGAAGGGTCTATGCCTAGCACTGCAGGCCTATTTGATAGCACTGCAGGCCTATTATTAAATTGATAAGTGTATGCTAGCCTAGGTCCTACATTTTGGCTGTTATTTTTTAAGTGCTTTGACTTTGTTGAATGATGTTAAATTTCCATTATATTTTATGTAGTAGTATAGGCCTATATATTTATTGAATGCAAGTTTAAAAATAAAAAATAAAATAATGTCCATATTAGTGTTTCTTTAATGAAAGTCAAAATATATTATATTTTGTTTTGGTGAAAGAGCACAATTTACTATTTTGAGAATAATTTTAATGCCTTTTTTTTTTTACAACAGTAACAACATACAGTAACAATATGACAGCTGTGAACTGGATTGGCTTCCTTGTTGCAAAATAAACGAGTTGTATTTCTGCTCTGAGTGATTGTGACTACCTTACTGCTTTTTGCTTCACTGTGATATAGTCAGTGTTGATGCAATTGCATTAGGGTCTTGACATATCACAATTTCAACTACAGTAATGTACCTACAACAGTTCTTATTCCCATTACAAAGCAGCTTTCAACTGAAGTTTTAAACCATATTACTACTGATACGAATGATGATAGTACTACAAGT